ATATATTTTATTATTATTAAAATAAATCGAAGATCTCTGGAGTTTAATATAGTAACCTTCGCTCTGGAGTCTTTTAATGATGACGGAGGTCCTCCGGAAATCTACACCTGAAGATCTTCAGAAATCTTTGCTAAAAAATTTCCTGATGTATTTATAGCTTTACAATTAGTTTTGTTATATTTATTTTTTTGTTCAATATTTATTTTTTTTTTCAATTTTTAATTTCGTATAGTCTTATATATAAACCTAAGTAAATATTTATAACTGTTTAACACTATTTAAAATATATATCAAATTTAATATTTATCTTTCATATTACTTAAATAATTTTTATAAACAAACTAATATTAGACTTACTGATAGAATTCTGAAAAGTACCAAACTAATATTGAACTGATATTGAAATAATATTAATTTATAGTAAATTTAATATATGGATTATAACTTACTTATATAAATTTATAATAAATTTAAGTATCAAAGTGGTATCAAAGTGATATTAAAATGGTATCAAAGTGGTATCAAAATGATATTGTTAGAAATCCTACTCATTGATCAATTGGTCATGTTAGAAATATTGTTACTTTCTGCATGTAAAATAATTTAAAATTTTTACAATAATAAAGAGATAATGTTTACCTACTTAAAAAAAAAAAAATTAAAAAATTTTAATATTTCTTAAAAAAAATATTTTTTCTTAAACTATTACTTATTAAAATATATTCGATTTGATTGCATATACTTTTCACAATTTCAAGTTATTTATCTTTATATTTTTCTTTATCACATTTATTATCTTTTATAATATTGTTTGTATATTAAAGCATATTTCTAAGTGCATTATTTCTAAACGAACTTTTTTTTAAAGATATACTGTATATAAATATATAAAGAAGTATACACTTCTTAAGTACATTAGTCAAAAAAAATTTTTATAAAATGTGCAATCTTATTTGTCTTCGTCAATGCAAATATATAAGCTTTAATCGTCATACGTATAAAATGATTGTATATTAACTTTGAAACAAGTAAAAATCTGATTATCTACAAGTTTGCAGCCGATACTAGTCAGGTGTTTATCCAGGTGATTAAACCTACGGAATCGGAATCAATAATCCTACACGTGTCCAGATTGGCTTTGAAACATGTAACAAGTGCACAGAATGAATCATACTTTCTCTCAATAACCATGTCCCTAAAAACCTGCTGACTATAGATAACCGTAAATATCGCTCTATTCCGAATCTATACGTATTGAGCAAACGCATACAAAAAGAAAACCAATAAAAAATTATTTTACAAGTAGTGGTCAGCTGTTATAGCCAATAGACCAAATAAGGTATGCACGTCAGTCTTGATACTTATATAAAGAGTTCTTTTGAGAGACATCAATCACCAACGTTTTTTGATATACTTAAAAAAATTATTTTATTTTATTTTTCTATTTCGTTTTCCAACAGCGGAAGGCAACTCAATTTGTCTTAGAGTTATATTTATAGAGTTTCATTGAATTCTCTCTACTATATACACAATCAAAACATTTTAGACTCTTAAATCTTTGGCACATACTCCTTGTAAGTCTACACAGTTATAAGAAAGTTGTTAGAAAGACTATACACAAAAATAATGGCCCAAGTCACAGGTGATCATCTTTTACAACTTTGCAAGGCTCCTGGCTTTACTTTGTTCTAAATTGCTCTCTCATAGAGTCGCCATATCAAGCTGAAAAACATCTTCATTTTAATGGCATTTCTAACGGTTTAGAAGAGTATCCGAAGTAAGTGTCAAGTGATTAATTATTTCAATTGAACTTGTACTCAATTATCAGCAAACTTTGTTCGCGATGGTTAGGCCAAGGTTCGAAAAGCGTAGAGCTTTGGATTGGATATATTTAATGAATTTTCATTGTTATCCAATTAAGCCCATACCTAAACGTTTTTTGTTACTGGTATCTAACTTCCTTCCAAAAGAGATGATTGTAACATTAAGAATCTAATATATTTTTCTTTTTCTTTTCTTTTTCTTTTACTGACAATCAATCATCATTTACCTTCTTATCATTACTAGGGATAATGAGCAAGACTTGTTGAACAATGATACCCTCTTATCGACTGGGTTAAATAGACTAAGAGATGACCGATCGTCTTTAAATGACACAAACAAATCAGACAACACCACAGCATTGGTCACAAACCATTTAGATCTTACTAGATTCTCAACCGAGTCTTTACATAGCTATAGATTTTTTGCAAGTGACGCTTCGATGCTGGAAAATAGACAGAACATCCTTCGTCGTTCCATAGAATTCATGAAGAGTAAGATAAGAGGATGCGTGCAAAACGCTTTATTCTCTTCTGTGATACCTACAAAAGACATCGTGCTCCCTCAAGAGATCGCCAGTGATAATGATTCTAGTACACCTCGTAAATTCAAACGAATGTTAACCGATATTCCTATTCCTTCATTGTACACCGCTATAAACCCTTCATCAACTTTACATTCACCAACACGATTCACTCCACAAAATCAAGCCATCATCACTACCGATAGTCAAAGTAATATACTAAATGTCAACGACATCGCCTGCTTGATATTTGGATATTCACGAGTTGAAATATTAAGCATTAGAGCATTAGACCTGATCGCTAGTCCTTTTAGAGAAAAACTAGCGAAGTCGCTTGCCGCAAGGCCTCAAGATGATCATGGAAGTTGTGAAGCTGTACTTGCATGCGGTAAAGTTGTATGTATTATTTTCTCTTTACTTTTTGATAGTCCCGCCGAATTTGTGATATACTTATATGCTTGTCATTATGTAGATACCTATTCAAAGGAAGAACGAAGAAACGTCTGCCGCTTCATTATGGCTTAAAGCTAAGAAAGATGAGTTTGGAAAGTCCATCTTTATTTGGATTTTCGAAGAAATAATTGAGTCTATGATGATGACCGAGATTGATGAAAATGTAATTTGTATTCTGTTTTAATGTTATTTGTTTGTCCATTGTTCATTCTTTTATTAACCTCATAAACTTTAGGGCACAGTGATGAAGTCATCGGGCGATGTAAAGGCTTTGTATGGCTATTTACCCGAAGATATTGTTGGAATGTGTATTACCGCTCTAATCCCTACTTTGGAAACTGTTCGATCCAACGAAATAGATGATATGATGACAGGTCCAAATCCTCGGTTGGATATTGACCAAATAAACAAAACGAAGTATTATGGTAGTCGTTCAAAATATGGTGCCAACTTTCCAATAATTGGAAAAATTTCGGTAACTTCGGTACCTGAGGAGACTCCTGATGAACGTGATTCGTCCATTATATACGGACTTAAAATTATATCAATACCCACCATCGCTGGTGTCATAACAGCACATGCAACTGGTATAATTCAGTCGTGTAATTCCGACTTTGTGAAATATCTCTTTGGTGTTGGTGCGCAAGAGTTGAACGGAAAGCGTCGTATCGAGTCGTTACTGCCTCAATTTCCTCGACTCATCGAAATTCTTGCTTCCGAACGAGATCTCGATGAAGGAATAGTGATTACAGAGAATGCCTTTCGTCGTGCAGTAGCTACGTTGATTTCTCACACTAAAAATCTGCCTGCTTCAAAAGAACCTTCATCTACCGTCTTGGCAATGCCCGTTCAAGGTCCCTCAGGTATAATTGCAGTACATAGAGATGGTACCGAGTTTGACGTAGATATTCAAATGCGCGTACTTGAATCGTCCGATGAACCATTGCATGCATTATGGATTACATATGATCGTAATTTTAATTTTGCGAAGGAACGGCCTGTCGAAGATGTTGCAATAACTTCAATACCTTCTAGTAAACCGGATGATGAGAAAGGGCAGGATGAAGATAATGAAAAGTTTCCAATATCGAAATTTATAGCGGCTGGTGGCAGACCACCATCATTGGCATACTCGTCAAATGATAGACGGATATCTGTACCCCCATTGATTTCGCCCGTTGCTGAGTCTTTTGATCCGAAATCGTATTCGGCAATATCATTGGCAAAGAGCATTGATGACTTCATAATACTGGAATCTTTGGGTAAAGGTGCATATGGGGAAGTCAAATTGGCATATAATAAAAATGATCCAGAAAAGGTAATTATACTGTGAATCTTCTGGAAAAAGTCTTTTTCTGAATATTCTTTTAACACAATTTTGTCTTTATATCATTTAACGGTCTTAGAAAAAAGTGGTACTTAAATTTGTGACGAAATCTCGGATACTTGTGGACTGTTGGACTCGTGTCAAGGATCTTGGGACAGTACCACTGGAGATTCACATCTTACATACACTAAGAAGTATTCCTCATCCCAATATAGTGCAAATGGGTAAGATTAATCTATACTACTTTATTATTGATTATTTTTAATTTGGCATTTTTGATTGATAATTGTTTATCTTTATTGTTCTTAGTCGACTACTTTCAGGATGATGACTATTATTACATAGAAATGGGATTACATGGTGAGGGCATGGACCTATTCGACTATATTGAACTAAACGCATCTATGCACGAATCAGAAATAAAGTCCATATTCCGTCAAGTATCACGTGCCATACAACATCTTCATCATAACAAAATTGTGCACCGTGATATCAAAGACGAGAATGTGATACTTGACAAAGATGGTAATGTTCAATTAATCGATTTTGGATCGAGCGCATATCTGAAATCTGGTAGAAAATTTGACATCTTTTGCGGCACGATTGACTATGCTGCGCCAGAGGTTCGTTTTCAAGTTTAATATTCATTATCGGTGTTATCTATCGTTCGATAGATATTTGATTCTGGATTTCTTAATTGCATTATGAATAGGTCTTAACGGGAAAAAGATATGACGGACCACCACAGGATATCTGGGCTTTGGGTATTTTACTTTATACCCTCATATACAAAGAGAATCCTTTCTACAATATTGATGAAATAATTGCCAGAGATCTTAGAATTCCATATATATTATCTGACGGTTCGATCGACCTTGTAAAGAAAATGCTTGACCGGGACACCGACAAGCGTCCATCAATTGATGATGTCTTGAATCATCCATGGCTTCGTGAAGATTAACGTTGGTGTACTTTCCTATTTAGAACCTGATCTTTTTTTTGTATTATAATTTAGACGAACTTTGATTTATTTCTTTAACCTCTTGGGCCATGCGATGGGGGTTATTCAAAGAAAATCTAGATCCAATTGTTTATATCTTTATTTGTTATTGATAGAAATACAATATCTACATATTCCATTTTGCTTTGATTATTTTAAATCGAATTTTGCAAATTCGAGGATTGGAAAAACTAGTGATATACATACAGTATATAGAATACATTTTATTAGATGTAGAGTACAGCAAAATAATATCCATATGTAAGTACTTAACAATTTCTTGTACAATTTTAGATTATAGTTTCACTTCAACTTTTAAATTAGATATTTTTTTATGATACACTTTTAATAAAAACGATTATCATAAAAAGATAACATCTGTTTAGATTTATGTTGTTGTCTCGTGACATTCACGAAAGTGTCGCGTTAATCTCAACCCACGTTTACCATTTAATCACATGACGCATTGCATTTTAGTCATGTGTGGAATTCTTACTAGATCAACTCTATTCTCGTTGCGCATTGAAAGCACTATGGAAAAATTTTCTAAATGGAGAGTAAGTTTATGCTAGCTTTTGCCTTCACTGTAGACACCTGCTTCTACGTTTTTCGTGTTTTATGTTTTAGGATGCCAGCACCGGAATTCAACCTTTCGTTCCTCCTGTGGTATGTGAAGAATTCTTCAATTTTAAAATATTCATTTTTTTTCCCAAATTTCTCTCAATTGTTTGTTTCTTAGCCCTCACGAACGGATTCTAATTTGGAAGCAAAATTTGCATTGGTACTTGGATTTGTTTTAAAACCCGTTCTAGGAATTCTTAAGGTGTTATTGGTTTGCGCGGACGCCTTATTACTGTTTCTCTTGGTCGATGTCATCGGATCAATTCTGGTATTCCAGTATATCCATTTGGTTTTGAATAAATCGCATCACAGTTCGCTTATTTCTTTTTTTTTCTTACAAAAAAGATTTATTTTAAGCCGTTGCACAGAGGATTTTGTTTTGTCTTTACTTCTATTTTGACACGTCTTGCGTTGTTTTTTATGGGATTCTTTTGGATCCACACGGAGACTGTTTCCTTGCGGAGAGGGTATTTAAAACGAGCTTAAGGGAACGAGATAATTGGAAGTTATTAGATTAATTGGTTTTTGAATCACTAGACGCGGTAGTATTTCAAAGACACGTGAAAGATCAATAAACAAAGCCAGGTCCGCTGATATAATTATCTGCAATTGGACTTCTTATATCGATTTATTATATTTGGCGTTCAGGTAATATATAATCTTTCACCGATTACTTATAAATATTATCATCTTTACTTATTTTTTACTGACAATCACCATATCTATAAGGTTTAACCCAGTTTTCACACAGATTTACTCCACAACAAATACACTGCGACCGATATCCTTGTGGACTGCAATTAGATTAACAGGATCATATCCTGAACTAGAGCCTTCTGGAGATGTTAAAACTTTTAGCCTACGAGAATTAGTAAAAGAAGCTAAAGATAATCAATGGGGGCCAATTGTAGTATTTCCAGAAGTAAGCATTTCACACTTACATAATTGATAATTGTTGATGGTTTCAATAACTCCAGAATTGATATCTGTAAAGGGAACCACATCAAATGGACGAGCCTTGCTGAAGTTTATTCCGATTTTTAAAGATTTGTCGATTTCTACTTTAAACTTTTCAATTTATATCCTAACTTTAAGGTGAAGATTTCTCTCTATTTGAATTGTTACCATATTTTATTAAGACTTTTTTCTTTTTTTTAAGGTATGAATACGAAAACCTTCCACCAACTTTTACGGTCGGAAGTAAGCTTTGGCACTTTATGAAACTTTGCAGCCAGGTATATTGTCTTTAGTCTAGTTAAATCAATTTTCTAAAGAATTCTCTGAATAGCATCACGAAATTATTATACTATTTACAGTATATTAACGTCCTACATGTGAGAATTCTTGAAGAGTCAATATCTTCAAACTTTACAGCTTCCAGCATACAAAATTCATCACCTGCGCCTTCTTCCGCTTCAAAACAAGCAGACACGGTTGATTTTCAGATATTGAACCTTGTGGGACAGGTAGGTAGAATGCGCAAAACTAATTTAGGTGTGGAAGACAAAATATCATTTCTAGATTACTTCTGGGAAAGAACAACGGGAGATTACGCGAAAAAAAGATAAAATAGTAAATTTATAGATGTCTAGCTCATTTGCTTTATTGCTTTAACAAATTAATAATCTTCGAGATCAATGTAAGTTAAAGTATTATCGAAATTGATTTTTATCAGAGATTACGAATTTAACCTCTTTTAACTGTAATTAACTAATACAAAACCTAATATTAGAATTTTCTACCGAAAACTAATATTGAATACATTGAAATAAATTACAAATTAAAGTCAATTAATTTATAAGGACTCTTTCAACTAAAAATTAGATATGTATTCGTATGCGGTTATGTTTTTTTATTTAAATTTTTATAAATAATACAATACAATTCTATTTACCGAATTTATATTATAAATTTAATTCTTAATCCAACTCCATCAAGATTTTCTAATATAGAAAAATATAAGATTAATTATAATATATAAAGTTAGATTTTTTTAAGTATAATAAATTTGAATTATGTATTATTTTTTCTTTTGGAAAATTTTATAAATAATAGCTTATTAGAATTAATTTATTAAATATGATAAGTAAACAAAAAATTGAAATATATTTTACTTATTTTTTTGTTTTTTTTTGTAACAAATATTTATTGTATCTATTTAATCATTAAAATTGAAACATAATAATACAAAGCTTTTATACATAAACCAAATTAATACTTGAATATCTGTTACTGATTTTTTTTTTTTTTTTGGAGCAAATAGCTATCATGTTTTATTTTATTATTATTATTTTAGATTTATGAATTATAAGATTTATAACATCAATAACATGATATACATTTTTTTTATTAGAAAAAGTTAAATGTAAAGCTCACAGTTGCAGCCTATTCTTTATGCTTCTTGGCATTACTCAAAACTATAGAAAAAAGAATTCTAAAATCTATATTGTATTTTGAATAACATTTAGTTATTTAGAAATAATAATTATTTAACTATATAAAGATATTGCAATATCTGTTACTAATTTTCAATTTTTAGATATAATTTTAAAGATAAATATAATTGGTTTTTTTTTTTTATATTTCTTGAAGAAATTAAGTCAATTACTTATAATTTATTATTATTATTTATCTTAGCAAAATTTTGATTATTTTATATTTTCAATTATTTAATATTTTTTTTTTATTTTTTTTTATAAAACTTATTAAAAATAATAATAATTTTTTTTTTCAATACTTTTTAAAACTTGATTTATTTATTTTTTTTCTTTTGTAATTCAAATCTATTATTTATAGGTTTTATAATAAAAAACTGTTCAGAAAATTAGTCAAAAATTTCAATTCTATTTAAATTTCAAATATTTTTAT